CTTGAGAGTAAATATAGGATATAAGTGGGTCATAATATATTCTTCAGAGAAGTGAAGTAATAGTTTCACCTTGTTCAATACCATTTTTAACAGGATATGAGGAAGTTAGTCTAAGGTTAGTTATAAACTGATTGTGGCGATCTGTAAAGATATTCATTATAATTTTGATGATAGATGTTGGAAGAGCAAGGCAAGTAAGTGAATGTTGGAGTAAAGAAAGATTAACAGAATCGTAAGCTTTGCTCATATCTTGAGACAAAAGCCATAAGTCTTTTTGATAGCAAGTAGCATCCTCAATGAAATTATTAAGAATATGTATAGGAATAGCTGTAGAATTTCCAGATAAAGCAATATAATTAAAAGAATATAAGATAGAGTGTTGTTGGAATACAGTATTAAGTCTGTTTGTAATAAGTTTAGTATAGATTTTGCGAATGTGTTCAACTAAACTAATAGGACAAGTAAGATTAAGGTTGCCATCAAAAGTGTTGCGTTTTGGTATGGGGTAAACTCTACTGTTTTTCTATTGTTTTAGAATTTGACAATGAGTAAAGCAAAGATTAAAAAGAACTGTAAGAGCTTGAAAACATGTGGTACCAGAGTGCTTAATCATTTCATAGCTAATGCCTATAGGTCCACAGGCTTTGCTATTTGGGAGCTTAGAAATGATTGAGGTTATCTCTTCAATTGTAATTGGAGAGATAAGAGAATTGTACCAATTAGAATTGATGTGAGCTTGTGGTTGATATTGTTGTTGCCAGAAATTATCAAAAAGTGTTTAATTAATTGGTTTATAGGCAGTCTAATTAGAGAAGTGGTTTTGTATATGTTGTTTAATGAGAGAAGGCTCAGTAATCAGTTTATCAGGTAGTTTAATATTATTAAAGTATATAGGAGTTTGGTATCGGTTAAGGATACTATTAATAGCTTGTTTGGGTTTGTTAACAAGAGTTTCACATCTGTTTTCAGAGGCTTGTTGTATTTGTTGATGCAAAAGGAGTGAATTTTCTATATGTCGTGCTTGAAATAATTGATACCATATATCTTGAGTATGTTTTATCCATTCTAGAATTTGAGAAGGATTTAGACCTGAGAGGGTTTGGAGGTTACATTGAGACCATAAATTGATGTCATCAATTTGTTGATTAATGCTCGAGATGTTATAAGTATTACTACTGTTTTTAAGATTTTTAATAAGATGGCCAAGTTTTTTAAGTGGTAGATAGAGTTGTATACTATGAGGAGTATATTTATGATTATAACAGCATTTGCGACTAATCTTATTAGAAATAATTGATATGGCACTATTTATAATAGAATATTCAATTTTATGCCAAATAGTGTCAATATTATCGCTAGTTTATAAAGAGAGAGGTACATGATGATTGTTAAGCTTAGATGTGAGAAGTTCAAAGAACTCAGTCTAATTTTGAGAAGTCATAGCACTGTAATTAAAGATACGACAGCTTATGCCAGTATGGAAGCGAGGTAGTTTACTATATGCATTAGGGAATGTTCATGATGTATTAAGTATTAAGTGATCACTGCAAGTACTAGTTTTGCTGATATCAAGTGTATATGATAAGAGAAATTGGATATTAAATTGGTCAGTTCAAATATAGTCAATTCGACTAGATGAAGTATTGTTCGATTATATATGATGAGTATTATTAAAGTGGGTACCAATATTATATATATTAGAATGGTGTAGATAATTGATAAGCTTATATTTAGCTGAAGAGCTGTGAATGTTGTTATTTGTATTGAAGTCACTAAGAACAATAGGATGGAGATTTTGTTGTAAGGCAAGTTGAATCTAATTGATTACAGTATCTTGGGTTGAGTTTCATTTTAATATATCGGTTGATGAGAGATATACAGAGATAATACGAAGTTTGATGTTACTTTTAAAAAATAGATCAATAGCTATAGCACCACCAGGATGTGTAAGGCAGTTATAAATGTGAAGTTGAAGAAAGTTGCATATCATGATAGCAGAACCTTCTGCAGAGCTGTTGGAGTTAGTCCAAAAGTATATGAAGAGATTATTGTTGCAGAATGATAGATTAGGCATATCAGAAATTTTAGTTTTAGTAATGCTGGCAATATGAATATTGTGATCAAGGCAGTAGTGTTGCCAAGCTTCTCTTTTGGTAATTGAGTTAAAGCCTTGAACATTATGTGTTGCAATATTGAGATATAGGTCTCTAATTTGGTTAGGATATTGATTGTAAGGGTTGTCAATAAATTCTTGGTCTCTAGATAATATTGGTAAGGTGGATGGATTAGAAATGTTTTGGTTAGAGTCTAAATAGATTAGAAGGTAGAGACTCAAGTTCATTAGAACTTGATTCAGAAGCTACTGATAGATGTAAAAATAGGTGTATTAGATTGTGATTTAAGAGGAATGTCATGTAAATCATTGGCAGATAAAGTATAGTAGTTTGGTAGTATGTTGTATTTATATGGTAAGTACACATGTGCTTTACTTTTATTACTGTGAATAATAATAAAAGCATAATCTGCTAAATAGTTAACATTGTTTTGTCATAAATATTATAAAAAAGAATTAACAGTTTGTGGTTTGCTTAATAGAGGAAGTTGGTAGTAAGTAAAAAATTTGTTATAGCATATTTCTAAATCATAGAAGTTGGATGATATTGGTAATGATTTGGATGAATGTCATTCTATAGATGCACTTACCGTTTTAAGCTTAGTTTTCACAGCTGCGAAGGGTTCCATAGTCTGCCATATACGTTTGGTCTGACTGTCATTAGACTGGTCCTCCGCATAGAATTGGAAGATTTCTATGTATTTATATAATAAAAAAGTTATACAAAAATATGCAAGCTAGTTTAGTTAGTACAAACCCAAGTTAAGTCTGAGGAATTACAGAAAGTCAATAGAGCTAATATAATAATAGAGTATTTCCTTAGCAAGTTCTGAATATAGAAATAGTATAAACTTTTAACAGTATTAGTGAAATAGGCTTTACTCGAGGCTAGTATAACTAAATAAGGACCAAGTATTCAGAAAAAAAATACTTTGTCAACCAGACTGCTAAAATGCTAAAGAAAAAAGATCTGCAATACAAATACTAAAAGACTGATGTTTTTTCTAAGCTATCTAAATTAATAATATAAAAAAACTAATTAGATGATACTAAAAAAGAAAGTAAATAATAAACTCTTTCCATCAATCACTTACACAAAATTTAACTAAAAATTCGCTAGTATAAAATCTTTAATAACACAATATTTTATTAAGATATCTGCTTTTAACATCTTAATTGTTCAGCTTTTAATTTTACATATAATTTAAGAGTTTTAAGTTTTAATCTTAAAAACTTGTAGCATAATGCTACAAAAACCTTTTTTGGTTTTAAAATTTAAACTTTTAACTATTTCTTTAAAACAGTCTTTACAACTTATCTATTGGCACTAAGATAAGTTGTTAAGCTTATCCATCTGGAGGCTTTTGGTCTAATATTGACTAAAATATTAACAAAAACTCTCATTGCTTCTCTACAAAAATTCTTAAAAAATTCTTTTATCTTCACCTTCAACTTTTTTTTCCAAACCTGTTTTTCATATAATAGTAGATTATATTCAAATTAATAATACAAATCTATTTTTATTATTTGCTATTTTTATACTACTTTGTACTTTATATATAGTTTGGTATTACATATAACTCTTTTGTTACACTAGCTATACTAGCTACACTAGCTACATCCTTGTATTACTCTAGACTAATTTAGGTTATATAAAGTTACACAAGATTATACAAGCCATACTAATTACAGTAGTTATACTAAAGATTCCAGTAGTATCTACTCCTGTTTAGTTCTATTAAATATAGTATATTATTTCAAGCTTTTTAAATGCTATTTTTTAAGATTTTTACCAAAACAATCACATTGATGTTCTTAAGCAAAAATATCCACCATCATGCTTACTTTAATCACTCAAGATTTTGATATACTCAATCTTAATACATCTGTACAAACTATGCAAATACTTTTGAAGTTACTATTTATAAAGATAAACTAAGCATAGTTAGAATAATCACTCCTCAGTTTGGACCATCAAGTTGCATTACAGTAAATACCAGACAAGTCAAAAAAACTCATTTCTTTAAAAAATCACATATAATACAACAGTTAAATGCCTTTGTAGCAACTTTTATATACTATTCTATATTACAGATTAAAATAAAATCTGATCAAAATGAAATTTTTCTGCTTTTTAAAGAAAATTTGAAATTTTTTGAGAAATATTTTTTAAAGGTTTTTTTAGCATTAGGGTAGAGTTTAGAGTTAAATTTGAATGTTCTATAGATTAGGTGGGCAATATAAGAAATAAGCTTTACTAATGATTAGTAATCATTAATTTTTTAATATCAGAGTTGCGGAGTTGGCGGAGTTTGCCCACCTATTCTATAGAACATCCTTAAATTTATTAATAAATAAGTATATATGAGTTTTATAGGCTCTAAGAGTGGATATGAGAAGTTGCCAGTTTCATTTTGATCAGATTTCATTTTAATCTGCGATATTCAACTCTTCAACCAGTATTATTTATACTTTTATATTTTTAGCCCTTGTTGTTGACAAGAAAAACAAGCAAAAAAATACTGAACAAATGAACCAAGCTATCGCATCAACATTAACAACCATCTTAACCTCTTCTACTTCTAAAATCCATATCCATACATATTCTAAATGCTAGACTCCAATCAATTATAAAGCAATTAACAATCACTACCAACTTTTAAAAAGTTGCTTCTTCTTTGATAATGAAGCATAGTACTTGGAATGTCTTCAACAAAAAACAAAAGAAGAGAAAGAACAGACAAAAGCAGATAAACAATGTCTACAACAAGAACAACATCAAAAATAGCAACAAAAACAACAGGAACAACAACAATACTTTAAATATCAATAACAAACAGTAGAAATAAAAATAGTCAAAAAGACCTGTAGGTTGATAGCGCAGTGATTAGTGCTCCCAGGTCACAATCACAAGGTCATGAGTTTGAGTTTTACTGGGTGACGAACGGCTCTGCCAGGACTATGATTGGCTAAGATTTTCAGAGGATTTTTCATTAAAAATAAAGAACAAGACTCGTACAAGTTGCAGTTCGCTAGCATAGCCATAAGGCTGAGAATGATCAGATAAGGCATAATTCGTTAACAAATGACACTAAAATTGAGAAAAACCCAGCTTAAGGATATATAAAAGGACGATCCGGCTTGTGGGTCATGTGAAGTTAGGGAACT